TTCTTAATACTTCAATTTCTTCATATATGATACATTTTATCTGTTTTAAACTAAAGAATATTCCTGACAAATTATCTGTATGATTCCGTAAAAGTTTTAGAGTTTATAACGTTGATAATATCAATTTATTTCCAAAGTTCGCGAGGTGCGTGTTGTAGGAAGATTTTAGGATGCATTGAACATTTTCATTCGTGCAAACTGTAGTTTTAAAGATTGGGTCAGAGATACGTTTCAACTTTCCCGGAGTACGGAATATTGCTGGAGGGAGTATGTATAATTGCGCAAGCTAGATAATTGCATACAATAGTATCTTTCGTAGCGCCTGGTTACTGACTAGCTCATATCAATTCCGTTAGAAATCAGCGTAAGAAAATATTTATTTTATCCATTAATAAAAAGAGTGTTATAGAAGTAGAAATTATATACATCCATTATGAATGAAATTAAAATCTTGCGTGTAATAAAAATTTTATATAGCTATATTTATATAAATCTTAAAGATTAAAGATACAAAAAAATAATGTTTTAACAGAGCACAGTGCTTATAGTGCGATCACCTGACAGTTCAGAAGTAAGTTGCAAATGATTGTTCAGACGTGTTTTGATGCTTACAAATGCTATGCAAGAATTCTGCGAGTAGGTAATCTCAGCATTGATAGCCAAAGTTGTTAAACTTTTTACTCTACCGTGGTATAGATACTTCTGGATGTTCAAGTTTCAGAGGTTCTTGATTGTGTTGCAACTTGTGTTTGCATTTTGGATGCCTCAGTAATCGTCGTGGAAAGTGCGTGGTAATTTTACATCCGCTTCGTGCGTGCAAGTCTCACGAAAGGGTTACATGGTAATTCACACAAAATAATCTACCGTCTTATCTGTTCTGCCGAGAGAATTCCGGTTAAATTTGATCTACGACATTAAACAAGCTGAGGGATTTACCTAAGAGATGGTCCCGTAAAACGCACCATAAAAGAAAGCGCTCTTCAGTAAAAACGCTCTTCAGCGCCAGTAGAATGTGAGCAATTGCGAACGTATTTTTAAGCAACATTATTGCGAACGGAAGTAAAATTAAATTAAAAGAATTCTTATTTGAATGAATGACATAATTAGATGACATAATTAATTTACAGCTGTTTTGAAATAACTAAATTTGTTATTTAAAATTGATTTTTTTTCCAAATGTTATGGTAAAATATTTAAATATATAATAATAAATATTAAACATTTTTTATTTTGGATATTTTTTTATTTTTTGTTATATTTTTTAGTTAGTGTATATATGAAATATATACAGTGAGCTTATGGTATATACTTGTATACTAAGCAGTTCTCGTAGATTATTTTGCCTGAAATTATACGGCTTCATTATATACAAGAACCTTAATGAACTATTTCACAGATGAGAGCTCGTTTTGCTAATGAACAGGAATACGTTTCGTTAAGACGATCACGAAGAGGATAAATCATAGTCTATATGTACACAAAATTATTTCAAAGAATTTATAACAGTTTACTCATGAATACCTAATTTATGTGAGGAGTTATAACGGCAATTTCTGTCAGCGTATCATTTTTTTTTGCTGTAATAAACTAGACATTTATTAAGTCATAACTGATTCTGGATATTCATTCAGATTTTTCCTTGCAATTCATAGAATTCTGTGAATTGCAAGGAAAAGTCTGGAGTGAATAAAATACGTACGCATCCGCACGGATATGGATATGGATTTAATTATTATAACGTCTAACATTTTTCGTACGGAATTTTTAAATAGCTTTTTCGTTGTGTGTGTGCATTTGGAAAAGCAAAAGTAAAAGGGAATGAAGATGAGGTGATACATAGAACTAGAGTGCAGAGACGTAATAAAGGTTTTACTACTCGCGCAGTAAGCAACGTGTTAGAACAAAAAGTAACGTATAGTAAGGTAACAACACTATAAAAGCCCAACGGTACGAAAAAGGACTACTATACATATATGAACATACGTTGCATTTTTATCATTATCAAAAAGATTGATACGAAGAATAATTTTATATATATAAATATATATATATATATATATATATATATATATATATAATTGTATATGCTCTCTTTCATAAGTCCATCATGAATATTATGTTTTATCAAGAACACAAGTTTCTACGTTACTAACTTTCTTGTCAAGGACGAAGTTTCTTACTTATTGCACATCGTGCACAAAGTTTACTTGTTAATAGATTCTATTTATCAAATGTTTTGAAATGTTTCTTAAGCGTCGACGAAAGTTTGACAATGATCAAATATATGAATTTATCATTTTGTAATTCTGACCAACCGTGAGGATGACATTAATACAAGAATTTCATAAAAAATAATATTTTTATGTTTTTTTACGTCAGTCATAATAAAATCGTAGTATCTCGTATTCGTTTTTTTTTTTGGGGCTTCTGCTATTTTGATTTTTGTACGAATGAAATTTTATCTGAAATTGATCGCGAAGGGGTCACGGGGTTAACGAGACACGAAACTTGAATCTTGAATCTTAGAGTATCGTACCTGGCATCGTATCATTCCTCTTCGACAAATGGGCAATTCTACCCTTGGTCCTGGTTGATTCGATGCCTTTTGGGTGAATCCAGAAAACACGTTTTGCTTTTCTATGAAAGTTTCAGCAGCTCGGCTTGAAAGCAAAAAAATTGCCTTGCAATCAAACCATTGGTGCTCTGTGTATCAAGAGGAGGTTTGTGTTACAATCAAAATTCAAGTAATCTTTTTTACCTATTTACTTTTTTTAAACTATTTTTGCGTTTCTTTATTTTTCTCATTGTATGATAAAAAGTGATATCTTTAGTATATGATTATACATATGTAAATTATATTATAGATATATAAATTTTATATATGATTCTGCATATATAAAATATTTAAATGTAAACTGTAAGATAATTCGTGCGTAAAATATGATTTCAGACCCTTGCACGTCATTTCCGATAAATAGGTGTAAATTTAACTTGCGTAATTCGTACACATGTACACTATTTATCAAGGTAAGTAATGTTTAGACCAAATTAGATATGTCCGGCCACATCTAAATTAGACCATTGAGCTAATTTCTATGCTCGGATATGTTCGTATGCTCCATTTGAATTATGAACTTGGTTAAAATACATCATTAATCATTATTTACTTACGTTATTAAATGCATAAAAGAATAAAAATTGAATTAATTCCGATAGCATAGAAAGGATCCCGAGCTTGATCAAGAAAAATATTGCGTTAAAATAAATCGTTTACATTGTAACAGCATATCAAAGGATTGAAACATGAGGCCCGTTATTTTTCAACTTTTTTTTTGTTTCTTGAAATCTATTTTATTTTCATTTAGCCGGAACCCTCTTGCCTTTTTGGTTGATAGGAATCTGTCGTGCGACAAGTTACGTTGCAAAGTAAATTGAATATCATCCATTGACATGCCACTTTTGTTTCGGGCCACTAATTTCCATCACGAGGGTGATCCTCGTGATTAGATTCCGTTTTTTTAAAAGGAATTCAGCTCTTATCTAGATAGGAATTCAGCTCCTATCTAGACAGGATTTCTACCATCTGTCAGTCTTTTATAAACGACCGTCATTAAACGGCTCCAATATCGTGTATAACGGATCATAAAAAATGTAAGAAATGACGCACCGAATATTATTTTGCTGGAATTATCTGCTTTAATTAAACGTAATGGTGTCATTATAATGACACCAGAGGTAATAGGCAATTCCCTCTTGCAAAGAGCAGGCTATCTAATAAAACGTAAAAAAGAGAAAACGTATTTATATGAAAAATCTCTATCTACGATACATTTAATATATTACTCGAACGTGTTATAATCCGCGATATCTGCGTTACGTGACTCGACATTCTTATATACATTCTTAGAAAAATATTAGCGAAATAAAATTGACGGATGCATTGCCGTGCAATGTCGAGGAAACATTATGATCTTTATGAGATAGAAGTAATATCTTATAATAAAAAGGCAATTTTTCAATCTGGAAATGGTCCACTATTTATATATCTCGCTTATTAAACGTCATAGCATGTGACGTGGGATAATGCTGCAAGGAGAGTGTTCCCTGTCGGAACTATTCGCAGTCATGAATCAGCAATGGATGCAGGTATCGAAAGTCGATACGTCATACTGTGAAGTGTGAACAGAAACTCGCACAATTGGCAGAGTTTTTGGATAACAAGTCAAATACGAAGTCATGTGAAAACGCAGCATGGGTATACAAACGTGAATAATTCAATGTAAACTTTAAAGATGTATGCTTGAAAAAGGATTAATTAAATTCTATCGATTTACTTTGATATTCACAATTACCTAGGAAAAAAAAAGTTATATATACATATATAATGGGCATACTTTGTATGTATATAATTATATATAATTGTACAAGAAAGTAATGTCAATATATAATTATATATAATTATACGATATATGAAATATTTTTTCCAGGCAATTAAATATAAAAGATATAAATTTAATAAATTAGAATTTTTTAAAGAGAACCTTGATGTTCTAAAAATACAACCTTTTTTTCCTCTCTGTTTTCCTCTCTGTTTTGTAAAATCATAAAATTCTACTTTTTATATATTTTACATTAATTTAATTTTTAGATATCAATATTATTTCATACAAATTTTAATAATGTATAACTCGAAATCGAATAAGTATCTCTTGTAATGAATAATATGTATAACTATTGACGTTAATGATGGTATTTATAATGGTAAACGATTTTTTAAATAATTTTAAATTGTAATTTGCAATTGTAAACATATAATAATATTAATTTCTATAATTATTGTTATTATGTTGACATAGCCGCAATAATGGTCAGTTATTTCACATATCCTGGCATATTCATATGTATACAATGCATGACTCCCGTAAATAAAATATGTTCGAGGCAGATACCCGAGATGCCATAATTCTAGCTGATATTTAATTAGCGGACATTTAACATACCTAGAAACTTATTAAACGAGAAATCCTTATGACGTGAGCTCTATGAAAATTTTCCGGGTGGCCGTCGCACCGGATCTTCCCTTGTTCATGCTTGAATAACTTCGTGTATTCTCTTCGTCGTTCTAGTTGGAGACAGGAACATTAATCCGTGTGCACACTAACTTCCGCGAAACTAATAATGAGTCCTTTTTGAATCCTTCTCCGAACACGTTCGGTAATTTGACGTGTCATGCTTCGTGTGTTAGCATCTTTGTAAATAAATATGTTACACTACTTTGGTATAAAAGTTTGAGACATTCTCCATGGAATTTCTGATAGTTTAAGTCTACTGATAGTCTGCGATTTTCTTAAATATAATCGACAAAGTTTTGATTCCGCGTTAAAGAAAAATTGATTTGCATTTAAAAATTATTTCTTATTAAATACTTTTTGCAAATTACGTAAACGATAAATCGGAGTCACTGATTTTTCTTAACAATACACATAATATTTAAAATATCTCTGTTAATTACACTTTCGTTAAGTATATCGGTTGATTGATTTAAAGATGTACATTTTCTATCCAGTGTGTGTGTGTGTGTGTGAGAGAGAGAGAGAGAGAGAGAGAGAGAGTCAGAATTGGAGATGCTTAAAGATCGATTTCTCTCTGTTATCAACACATAGCGTATATCCCCGGAAATTCACTAGTAAGCTCAAGTTCGTCGGTCTCGCGCCTCTTAGTCGTGTCACGTTCGCGTTTTCTTTGGATTTCTTCGCACGACTGAACTTTCAGAATCGAGCCTTTCCTCGGTTTAGACTGCTATTAATTATGACCGTGCACGACGTCTCATTTTCACATGTAAATTTTTCACGTGCAAAATTCGAGACATTATTCTGCTGGTTTATTCGATCAGAGTTTCCATTTTAACCAGTTTGGCAGAAAAGATTTGCCAGTTTTGTCATCAATTTTATAGTGATCGACGCATTTTGTAACACGGATTCTTTCTTTTCATAAATCGGACGCGATTTCTGTCAGCCTACGATAGTTTCCGAAACCTCGTGTGTGTATCGCGAGCACCAAAATTTGTATACAACTCGAGCTCCTCGACGGCTCTCGGCCGACTGACTGAAATCTAGGCTTTACCTCCTGCTCCTCGTTGTCCGCGCATGTGCCACCGCAGATATATAAGACAAGATTTTGATAGAAAAATTACAAGACTGCAGTTTGAATACACGGTAATTTATTCATAAAAAATATTCTTGCAGAACTTGGTTTTATGAATGACTTATGGTAATCACAAATGCTTTTCAACTTCTTTGATGTTGTTACTTTTCATATATATTTACAGTACATATATATTTTTTGATTTTGAAATAATTATAGACTTTGAAATTTATATAAAAGGAATCGATTTTTTAGAAATAACTATTAAATTAAAGTATAAACAAAAGAAATAGATTTTTTTTAGGGGGGAGGGGGAATAATCATTTTCAAATTAATTATAATAATTACATTTATTTAAGGCTATGTTTAATTAAAAATATTACTTGGGTTTACGCTTTTTTTCCTGTTTTTGCTAAAAATAGATTATTTTTTCTTGTCAATAATTCTGTGAAAATAATCTCTTCCCTGCGGGGGATATTTTGTAATATACTCAAAATTACTCAGCATTAATAAAAATTTTTATCCCATAGCGCAACAGATATACGAGTATACAAAGATGAGCACAATATAGAGAAATTGACTTTATCAGTTACATATAAATTTATGGAAAACCTTGCTTTCAAATTTCGTAGAATTCGACATACCCTTCAGGGACGATAATTAATCAAGTCGCGTTTCATGAATCTCCCCGAGGATTTCTCAGGTATTCTACATTTTTATTGGAAAAACAATCTCTGTAACCTTTGGGAGAAGAGATTCGATCGATCGATTTTATGGTAAATTTAAATATATTCTCATTCTTCATGATCAATGAAATAGACAGATGCTCGAAATTTAGAATTTTATGTTACATTTTAGTAGAATTATTGTAACAGAGTGTGCGGCAAACAAAAAGTTATACTAGAGAAAGAAGAAGAGAGAGACTCGAATACATCAGTATTAGTAAGAAAAATTTGCTTATGCGGAAATTCCTTCTTAAAGAAGTGTAACGTCGTCGGAACGCATGAGATGCAGCCCAGCCTGCTAATTACAAGAAGTTGCACCGGTTGAAAGTAGGTTACGTTAAGCTCGGTTAAGAATGCAGACGGACACACTCATCAAAGTGAATGTGAAAAGCTCATAAGCATGGGTGTGTGCGTGCGTGCGCGCGCGCGTGTGTGTGTGTGTGTGTGTGTGTGTGTGTGTGTGAGTAGCACATGCAAATGATGTGCATTCCGAAATGGAACAAGGTACCGCGCTTTTCAATTATTTTGTAAAGAATTTAATTAATTACGTACTGCAACAATGCATCCATATATT